TGGCTGATGAATTCTGCCGCTTCATTCCAATGCATGGCTGGCACTGGAACCTCCTTCAAGCAGAAGGCGTAGCCTTGTCTGCAGGGTGGCATTTCGCTGCACAACAGCCAGACGCAGAAGTGACCTCGTGCTCCCCGCTCAGTTGATGAGTGGGGCAGAGGCATGTCACAGAAGCGACGATTTCGCTTACCGAGAAGGGGGTCAAAAGGTCGCCACCTCTCCTTTTGAGCAGCATCTGGTAGACAATTTTCTGCCTAATATTGTCAATCATTCCCTTGTTCTTGAAGGTGCCTGACTGTCCTCCCAGCTGGAGTGAGAACTTCAATGATCACTATAAAGCAAAACAAATGCAAAGTTTACGAAGGGGGTGTGGAGAAGGCAAGTCCCCGAATAAAGAAGTTGGCAGGGGCTCAAATGCCTGGGATTATGAGGGAAGTGGAACACACACATGGTTAGTCCACATGCTGGTTTGAATACTAAAGCTCAAGCAAATGGATTTGTTGCACACTAAAAAGTGAAAAGTGAACGACTACTCGAGCAGGTTATGTTTCTTTTTTAAAAAAAAAGTGGTGATTAAATGCGCAGGAAAATGAGGGTTTCTTTGCTTCCTATGGCTGCTAGACATTTTTTAAAGGCAAGGAAATGAAGAATAGCATCAGTCTGGGAGGAGGCAGGAGCAGAGGGGATCTTGACTCTAGTGATAAAAAGCTGGCGTTCATGGACAAAGGGAAAAAATATTCAGAGACTAAAGAAAAATCAAGAAATGTATTCTTTCCTTGCAGGCACATCAGGAAGAAAAGAAGGAAAAATAAAGCAGAGCTGGCCGAGGTAGGATTCTGGGTGGTCCAGCAAAACGCCTGCTGCAATGTATGTGCCTGCTCCTGTGAGGCAAAGGAAAGCACACCCGTACTAGAGCTTGTTAGCCCTGGTGAGGGCTTGTCGCCGCTGGCAGCTTCATCGCTGACTGCTGGTCCCTGAGGGAGGCAGGTCTGGGACCAGCCAGTGAGGTGGTTACAGAGCAGTGCCTCCCTGAGCATTACGGAAGAATCTCTGCTGTTGGAAGCAAAAGGAACCCTTTCCCCAGCGTGGTGTCAGGCAAGCTTTGCCTGTAGTCACCAGCACAGTATAAACTAGCAGTAGCTGAATGGAACATAACGTCAAACAGATCAGTAACTAATTATATTAAGAATGAGAGGAATACTTAACTGAGACAGGGACTGTGTAAAATGTTTGGAAAAAGTATGTATCATAAGAAAACTCCACCCGACCTTAATCAGTATAGAGTAATTAAGGCAGTGCCAAGGAAAGCTAGATTTTTTTCAGCAGCTAATGCACAGAACTGCCCAGTGGATTTACTAAAAGAAGTTAGACAATAACTATTCACAATGAACTGCAAAGCTGTCACTGTAATTCACCTCCACAGATTGTTCTAGAAGTTCTGGAGGGAGATACATATGCTTACATATACTTACCATTTGAATTGCCTCATGTCTTGAGAGGGAGAGACATTTCTTTTCTGGAACTATGAACCAATTGCTAAGGTTAGAGGTAAAGGAGCATCTGAAACACTTCTGCTGTGTTGGAAAGCTGTATACACAAAGGGGGTGCAAATGTGCACATTAACTTTTAATAAGCTTGGAAATCATTGACATGTAAACAGCTATTATTACAGCCAGAGCCTGTACTTTGTTAGAGACACATTATGCTGTAGTACAATCATGAGATAGCTCTGTTTAGCTAAGTGATACCATATTACCCTGTATATCACAAGAATTTACTCAGTGTCAGGACATGGCTACGGGCCAGAATTGCTCAGCAGTTCACCCCAAGAGTGCTAAGATTGATTCTCAGGGAAAAAATGTTGATAGGTGATAGTGGATTATGGCTTGGGTTTGACTCTTAACAATTTGTGAACGTAAAGACACTGAAGAGGACTGTACCTAGGACTCCCTGACTGTCCTTAGAAAACTTCCTCCATAATTTAACTTCCCTGGGAAGCACTGAAAGGGCAGTATGGGTTCAGCTTCAGCTCCATTCATACTGCAAGTCAGACAGACTGGAAGAAATGGAGCAAACAGTCATTTCTATCTTTTGTTTGTATAAAATATTGTGAGAGAAGTTATTCTTACTACAGCTCCAATCTGGCTCGCCTGAGAAGTGCTAGAAATCTTTAACCAATCTGTTGTAGAGTTGTCAACACTGGCTTCTCATTGCATTTGATAACCCAGCAGGAGTCAAAAACATTAGCAGCTCAGATTACTAATCAAAAGTCAGTCTTCTTCCCCAAACCCCTTGCCGGGATTGCCCTGCCCGTCAGCCCAGTGAACTCTGGACTGCCATTCCTCATCTTTCCTGACCCCAAAACTATTTTGCCTCCTCTTCCTCCACCAGAATTTGGTTACGCTCCAGGGCTCACCCGCTGTCCTTCTCTGCTTTGAGAGCTGAGGGAGTTCTGGGGGGGGAGAGGCAAGGACCTGGAGGATGGAGCACCCTCTGGCAGGCTGGCCGGCAGGCCTGGGGTGTTTTAGGTGTCCCTAAGAACCTGCCTGAGCCTCTCTTCTCTGCCACCATGCCCCCCAAACCCGAGAACCCGGCTAGTAGTTTTTGAAACAATTGCTGTGGAACTGACAAGTAAAAGCCTGATTATTGGTTAACTCTCTCTGCGTTTATGTTCACCCACCAAAACCTCAGGGCAAGAGGCGGCAGGTCAGCTGTATGTTACAGCGGTCGCAGAACTAACCTGACGGAAGGGCTGACTTCATGAAGAGTCCAAATAGAGGCTGAAGTGTGAGCTGTTACGGGAGTTAACAGACATGTCTGCGCAAGCCCAGCTATCCTTTATCATCACCGTTTTCCCCAAGAGACCCTTTGGTCTCTGTTCTACTATTTGCGGTGTTCATGCTAGCACATATAATCCAATTCAGTGATAACACATTCGGTGCGTGTAATTTCTCATTTTGTTTCTGGTTTTGCTACAATTAAAGCATACAGACCTTTGAAAAAGTCAAAGGAGTCTCACAACATGTATCCCAGTATGTGGCAGATAGGAATGGGACCTTCAGTAATGCGATTATAATTCAGGTAACTTTGAACGCAGGCCACTACAGAAGATGACAATTAGATTTAGGTGGTATTCAAATAATAGGAACTATTACGAATAATTTTAATACTAGGAGGTATTGGAATGATTCCATTTCTATGCCTTTGAGGTACAAGTATGAAGGGACTAAAAATTCCAACGTGAATTTAAATGGTTTAAGGCAAAACTTAAGTGTAACATTTTTTGTCAAATCTAAACATCCACTGTGAACATTCAGTGTAAGAATAAACCTAAAAAGCATTTTTTTTTTTGTCTTCCACAGCTCTATCCTTTATACAACATCAGCTTCAAAAAATCATGACTGATCCAGTCAGCCAGGTATCAAGAAGCTAAGTAGTCATGCAGTAGCAGGAAAAAAAACGGGACATCTCATGTCGGCGTGTACCGGGGGCTTTGGCTGCTGTTGGGCTGTGAGCTGGGCTGTGCTGACACCGCGGTGCAGCTGATCAAAGCCACGGTAAAACATCTGAAAATGTCACTTTTAGAAGGGTGGGGAAATACTGCTGGAAGACCTGATATGCTAGAATTCGCCAGCAATTCTGTTGCGGATCTCGTCCAAAGATGCAGTCTCTGCAAACCTTGAAGGAATGAAAACAACTGGTGTGTGGGGATGGGTTGAAAAAATTGAAACAACTTCCATAGTTCGACATGAAAAGTAATGTCATTATTTCTTTAATAGGTACTCTATTATCTATAGGTACTCTTATTAGCTATAATTTCTTGCATAGAAAGCACTGCATGCTGTATTCTAAAATGAATAAATATAATTCCTTTTTGGCAAGGACAAATTAACCTAGTGCTAGAAGCAAAGCGTAGCCCCATGCTGACTTGTTATGTGTACATCTGGCCTGTTGTCATGTCTCTAAAACAGAATGTATGGGGAGAAGGGTACTGAACAGTAAAAAGGGAATTACTGTAATTCACTTGTAAATTGAAAAGAATATATATGTGGCTCAAAAATAAGACGTAAATGCAGACTTAAAACTGATTTATAGAGGAAGAGGTTAGGATAAGCATGTGACCTTAAGTATAACTCAGCCTTGGGAGGCTTCAATAAGTGGTACAGAAGTCTATAATAAATTAAAATCGTGACAGCAATAACTTAAAACTCTGTTTGGAAACTATTTTAATGTAAAAAACTTTTCAGAAAGGCATTTTAAAGCTTAAAGTGCAGAAGTACTCCAATTTGAACTGGAAATGATTTCCCTAACCATCCTGAACAGTTTTCTCCTCACCAGGGTGTAGACACCTCTGCTTCAATTTTTTAACTGGAACCCCCCCCAGTTTCTTCTCCGCTCCCCCCCCGCCGCCCCCCAAGTTCCATTTCTCCCCCGTGATGTTTTCTGGGGAGAGGTGGAATCATTGTATTTCACCCGCCCGCCCCCCCGACATCTGCCCGGGCTGTCGGGCACCCCCCGGCCCTCCCGCCGCTTGAGCAGCCCCCGGGCCGGCGGGGACGGCCCCGCTCCCCGCTCCCCGCTCCCTCCCGCGGGTGGGCGGCGGGGGCCGGCGCCGCTCCGCGGGGAAACCCGCCCGCGGCCACGGGCGGAGGCGGTGCGGCCCCGCCGCCCCGCGCAGCGCCTGGCGGAGCCGCGGTCGGCGGGAATCCAGTCCGGGTTTTGGTGCCGGGGAACCGGCGGCGGCGAGGAAAGGGCGAGCGGGAGCGGACCCCGCGCTGCGCCCCACAGCCGGGCCGGGCCGGGCCGGGCCGGGCCGGAGCAGGAGGAGGAGGAGGAGGGCGGCGGGAGCAGGTGGGCGAGCGGCGGGGCGGCCGCGCCGGCACCGGGCCCGCCTCGCCGCGCCCGCGGGCCCCCATGGCCGCGGCGCGCCCGCCGCACACACCCACCGCCGCCCCCCGGTGAGCGCCGCCGCCGCCGCCGCCCCTCGGGCTCGGCGCTGCCGCTGCCCGCGGCCGGGGCTGAGCGCGGCGGGAGCCGGGCCGGGCCGGGCCGGGCCGGGCGGAGGCACCATGCAGGCGCGGCGCTTGGCCAAGCGCTCCAGCATGGGCAGCCGGCGGCTGAGCGCGGGGCCGGCGGCCGCTCAGGCGGAGGGGGGCCGGCCCCCCAAGCCCGAGAGCGCCTGGAGGCCGCCCCGGCGGGAGGGCTCCGCCGCGGCGCTGGAGGAGGAGGACGAAGACGAGGACGTGGTGGTGGAGGTGGAGGAGGAAGAGGAGGAGGAGGAGGGCGGCCTGGAGAGCCCCCCCCCGGCGCTGACCGGCCACGCCAAGGGCCCCCTCCGGGGCAGCCTGAAGGTGCGTCCCGGGTGGGCGGGAGCGGGGCGGTGGCGGCAACCGCCCGGCCCGGCCCGGCCCGGCCCGGCCCGGTGCCGGTGGCGGGGCCCGGGGGAGGTGCCGGGGCGGGGCAGGCCGGGCCGGCCGGTGCCTCGGGCCGGGCCGGGCCGGGGGGGCGGAGGGGGCGGCCCCGGCGGGGCTGGGGCGCCGCCGGCTGCGGGCGGGCCCGCGCCCCGCCAGCCCCGGGGGCAGCGGGTTCCCGCCGGGGAGGCGGCGGCGGGCGGGCCGCGGAGCCGCGGGGGCGGCCGGTGCGCGGCGAGAAGGGGGCGTGCGCGGGGGAGCCGCCGGTGTCTGGAGCAGTTTTGGAGAATAAAGATTTCCCGGGGTAAAGTGCGCGGCGGCGGGGCTGCTGCGGGGGGGGGGGGGGGGGGCGTGGGTGTTCAGCTTGGCCGTTTGCACTGGGTAATTTTTTTTTTTTTTTTTTTTTCCAAGATTAGAGTCGTGCCTGCGGCGGGGGGGCGAGTGGGTTAGGCGGTGCTGGAGGGCTCCTGCGAGGGAGGGTGCCCGCGGTGAGGAGACCTGGACGGGCGGTTTGTGAAAAGTTTCCGAGTGCAGCAATAGTGCGCTGAGACCCGGTTGAAACCCCATGGGAGTGTGCGCGGGCAGTCCTCTGAATGTGGTGCGTTTTGGAGCAACCTGCTGAACACACTTGCAGGCTGAGACCCCGCAGATTTAGGCTTCATTATTTTATCACGAGGGGTTTTCTGTAGTTATTTTGATCTTCGAATAACTCGGATAGTAGTGTTAAGTCTGTGTGTAGGTCTGTGCAGGATATGTGTAATAGCTTTACACTGGTTATGGGAAATAAATGCGTATGAAACGGTAAAGGATATCCCTTGGGATTGATTTATATTTTTTTAAATCTAGATAATGATTCTTGCTTAACAAGAGATCAGGGTTGGCCTAGTAATAGTGCCATATTGCCATTGGGGTCTTCCCTGTATCCACAGAAGGTAAAAAAAAAAAAAAAAAAAAAAAAAAAAAATGGAAACCAAACCAAATGAACCACCAAAAAAATCCTAAAGGAAAGCATCAGCAGAAATACAAGTTATCGCCATAATGCTTCAGAGCTAGTTTGTTATAACAGTGATAGGATAAATCTGACCCAGCTGGGTCATTGGACCCTGTCCGTGTAGCTCTTCAGTGAGTCTGTCAAGGGCCACAAGATGCAGTTACGGTCTGGCTGGATCAGACTGTCTGTGTTACTGAGGCCTGACAGGCTGGGCCAGCTTGCTTGCTCTAAAACCTTTTGACACTTGACAGATAGCCTAAGGATGAAAGGCACCATAATGGGTTTCTGGTCCCATCGGTCTCCCCATCACACCGAAACGCCAAGTGATAGAGGAAGCTTAGAGAAACTTCCGCTGTGTCCCTAATAGGAAAAAAGTGTGAAATTCTCAAATGGAGCAAAATGATCTGAACTATCAGGTGGATTACGTAGGTATAATCCTCATATAACGTGGGTTATTGGAGTGTATTGTTCTCTCTGTCAGCCTTCAACAAGCTTTCGAGTAGTAGGTCTGTTAATATAAGTAAAGGTTGCTGGTATTCCTGCCTTACACTTACGACTATATGAGCATGTAAGAATGTCATGCCTGCATGTATTTACTTCCCTGTACAGTAAATCTGCCTCCTAGATGAGGTGAGTGGAGTAGTGCATCTTAGGCTACTTTTAGCGTACATAATAAACTCTCAGGTCCTCTTTAGTATCCAGGTGCAGGTATTTACCCTCTTTAGAAGAATATTTCTAACCCTCATGACCATCAGGATTTGCTTTCAGTATTTATACTTTTGAGTACCATAAACTAAGAAAGCTGTTACAATTTAACATTTTAAAGAAACTGTCTTTGGTTTCTGTATATTTCTTTAGTGATTGTTGGTGTAGGAGTACATAAAGCTTAATGTAAGGGTTGTTCCAAGTAACAGATTAAATGTGAGAGAAATGGGCATTAAGTGAATGCAACAAGTGAGGTCCAACTGCAAAACTGGGAGGGTAATAGGACTGGCACGATCTGTCTCCGGTTTGTTAAACAGGATTCCTTCCACATGGAAAACTGGCATGGGGTCAACAGCATTTGACTCCGGATCTGGTCTTCTGAGTTGGGATTTGGGAGCAAAGGGAATTGAAGGGGTGCCCACTGCTGAGAGAGAACATAAATTGTTGCGGTGTCCAGTACCCTTCAGAACAAGAGATGTCCTGAAGAGCTTCAGAATTTAATCAGACTTGAAAGCAAAGTGGTCCGGGTGTTGGTGTTGCAGTCTTATGTTATCCAGATAATGCAATTAAAAAGCAGCACGCAATGGCTTGGTGTGTGATATAGATACAAATGATGCACATGTACACTTGATGTCTGTGCCCTTGGGTGTAATGGCATTTTACAGCTAGAGGTTTCATGAGCTCTTCACAAAGTCACTTCCATGGAGCGCCTGTGTTACATGGATGAATACATCATAGGGTCTGCAGTGAAATTAATCTTTTTTTTAAAAGTGCCTGAGAATTTGATTGACTCATCAAGATGAAAAAAGTACCTGCATCATCAGGTCTTATGGCTGTGTTGTCTCTACTGGAAAGAAGTCTATGCTGTGTGGTTGCACCACTGGTGGTCCATTTTTAACCCTCACCTTTAAATATAGGGCAAAAGAGAGAGGAAGAAGTACATTATAAAGACAAATGTTATTTCTCCAATTTCTCAGGTCTTGGAAGGAGAGAACAAGTACGACAAAAAAAAGAGTGAGAGAGACTGTTAGTCATGAGGAAGATACAAAAACTGCTTCATTATATTGCTGTAGCCACATGTTGTGGTTTAGGCCAAGCCAGCAGCTAAACAGCATGGAGCCCTTCACTCATTCCTCCTCCCCCCCCCAGTGGGATGGTGAGGAGAAAATGTAGCAAAAGGCTTGGGGGTCAAGACAAGGACAGGGAGAGCTCAGTCACCAACTATGGCCATGAGCAAAAGACAGACTGGACTTGGGGAAAAAAACATCAATTTAATTTGAACACCACCACCACTACTCATTTCCCAATCAAATCAGAGTAGAACAGTGAGAAATAAACCCGAATCTTAAGAACACATTTCCTTACACCCTCCCTTCTTTTGGGGCTTAACTTCACTCCTAATTTCTCCACCTCCTCCCCTCCAGCAGCACAGGGGAACAGGGAGTGGGAATTGCAGTCAGTTCATCACCTGTTATCTCTGCTGCTCGTTCCTCCTCAGGGGGAGGACTCCTCACACTCTTCCCCTGATCCAGCATGGGGTCCCTCCCATGAGAGACAATCCTCCAGGAACTTCTCCAATGCGAGTCCTTCCCACAGGCTACAGTTCTTCACAAACTCCTCCAGAGGAGTCCCTTCCATGGGGTGCAGTCCTTCAGGAACAGACTGCTCCAGTACAGCTTCCCTCAGAGTCATGACCTTCTTTGGGCACAGACGCCTGCTCTGGCGTGAGGTCCTCCGTGGGCTGCAGGGGGGAATCTGCTCCACCATGGACCTCCGTGGGCTGCAGGGGGGAATCTGCTCCACCATGGACCTCCGTGGGCTGCAGGGGGGAATCTGCTCCACCATGGACCTCCGTGGGCTGCAGGTGGACAGCCCTGCCCTCTCACCACGGGCTGCAGGGGAGTCTCAGCTCCAGTGCATCTCCCCCACTCCTTCTTTAGTGAGCTTGGTATCTGCATAGGTGTTTCTCTCCCATCTCCCTCCTCTCTGCTCCCCTCTTTGCCCACCAGGTTTTTCCCCTCTTAAATATGTCATCACAGAGGTATTACCACCATCGCCGGTTCTCTCGGCCTTGGCCAGAGGCAGGTCTGTCTTGGAGCCGGGGAAGCTTCTAGAAGCTTCTTACAGAAGCCACCCCTGTAGCAGCCTCCCCTGCTGCCAAAACTCTGCCACACACAGTCCCAAGACACCAGATAGATGTCCACATGGAGGACACTGGAAAACACTTCTGTTGCTCTCATTTCCCCCTGCTGTTCTAACACGATGCTTGAAGAGGCATGAGTGTGCTGTCTGTAGCTGGTGGGTAATGGCAGGATAGCCAGAGGGACTCTGAGAGCCTGTAAAGCCTTGTCGAGAAGTGCTGGGCTTGCTTATTTTGTCAGAACTAGTTCATTCATCTGTACAGGGAAACAAATGGCACCAAGGTGCTGATTATACAGACTCATTTTGCACATGAAACTCTTTTTGTGCAACCCATACTTGCTGTTTTGGCTGTAACTAGATTTCCAGGCATTTGAAATTAGATGAAAAAGAATAAATAGCACAATTACTGGTACTTTATCTTGAAGCGTGGATTAATTTGCGGTCCTTTTTATTTAATCTTTTGTATGGGACATGGTTCAGATACCACAAGCAGCCATGTTAGTACCACGCTGGGATTAATTTACTCCATGGAAACTACTGGTTTTGGTGATACGGGGAGAGGTTTTGAAGTAGGGTTCATCAGCAGTCTGTGATGCTGAGTTTATCTGGTACTTATAAGCAAGACCCACCATAAGTAGCAGAGCTACGCTTATTTGCCTTTAAACCACTAGAGTGCTCTGATTGAGGATTTGGGCTGGTAATGAACACAGGCTTGTGATAACTTGCCAACATGTTGCAATATTTTCTCTACTGTTATAATCAGTAAAGGGGTTAGTGCTTTCTTCTGTTTAGCGCGGTTGAGCTGCCACTTTATCTCCAGCCCAGTTTCTGTCCCCAGGCTTGAAATATGGACACAGGACATTTCTAACCCAGCTGACTATGGGCGCTTCTCCTGTTCCTCAAGCATTATGTTGCTGTGGTCTCTGCCCTTTACCTTACCATAAGCACCCGAGAAATTATCTATTCCAGATACTGGCTTGTGTGTGAATACTTCTTGGTAGTTCAGAAGGATGAACTTCCTACAAGTGGATTTGTTCCTGCAAATACACAGATCCCAAAATCATGGGAAATGAGCAGATGAAGACTGAAAACTAAAGGCTCA